CCATCCACCCAACCATCCACCCATCCATCCACCCATCCATCCATACATCCATACATCTATTCATCCATCCATCCATCCACCCATCCACCCACCCACCCATCCATCCATCCATCCATCTATCCATCCAACCATCCACCCACATCTCCATCCACCCACCCATCCACCCACCCATCCACCCGTCCATCCATCCACCCACATCTCCATCCACCCATCCATCTGTGCATTTCACTGTCCTTCCATTCACTTGTCCATCCACTCACTGGCTTAGCCATCCTGCTTTCCATGCATTCAATCTTCTACCCACATACATAGCCATCTGTGCACACACACAATTGTCCATCCACACAGCTGACCGTCAGTCTGTCCATCCACCAGTTCACTTGAACATCCATCCAGCTATCCATGCATCCAGCCATTCATCCACATGACTGTTCCTCACTCACCTGACCATCCTATACTCACCCAGCCAGCCACTTACTCACTCACCTGACCATCTATCCATCCATTCGCTTAAAATCCTTCCATCTGTCCACACACTCCACTGTCCATCTGCATATCAAATGATCCACCTGTGTGTCTGACTATCCATCCATCCACCTGATCAGCCAGCCAGTCATCCAATCCCCCCACACCCCGTGTGTCCAACTCACCTGACCACCAATGCAAGCATGCAACTTCCAACCACCCACCTAACCGTCCTTCCATCCCACCAGCTGTTGAGACTCAGACACTGGCCCTGTAATAGCTCCCTCAGAGTCCAGACTTTTCCAGTGTGCCTTGAATGCCAGGTCCGGGTGATAGGGAGCCACTGGATGCTCTTGAGCAGGGGTGGTATGATGGGGGTTGGGCACAAGAGAGGCTGGGGCTAGTGAGGATGGGGAGAGGCTGAGGCGGAGCAGAGCCAGGCAGAGGACGCGCAGGGTGGGTCCAAAGACCCTGGGACATGGTAGAATCATCCTCACTGGATAGATGAGAAAAGAGGCTTGAGGGAGAGCAACATGCCTGGGCACGTGGGTGGTCATTCAAGGAGCCAGGCAGACCCTCGCTGCCATCCAAGACCAACCACTGGGCCACACTGCCTGTTCTGACCTGACTGCAGGTGCAGCTTCCCAGTGTCACCCACAGCGCAGGAAGAGGGGGGCTCAGTCACCAGGAGACCAGGCTAGGAAGATGCCACATGCTGCGTGACCACGATGAGTCACGGCACAGAGGCTAGGCTGGGGGCTGTTGCTGCCAAGGCAGCAGCTTCACTTTCGCTGGACGCCCCCAGCCAACTGCCTTTCGTGTCAGGAGGCCTGTTAGGGCAACGGAGGAGAGGAGTGGGGTCGAGGGGCCGGCGGCCCGGTGGGCAATGCCTCCTGGGAAACCGCGATGGCTTCAGTCACAGAACGGTCCTCGGGAGATCTTATTTCCACGGCAAAGAAAAGAAATTCTATGTGGAGCAGCGTCAAAGGCAGAGCGGCCGGCCCGGGAGCAGCCGCCTTTGCTTTGACTCTCGGTCCTTTGCCTGCTGAGCACCAGTGCGACTTGCTCTCTTCTGTTTGCAAAGTGAAGCCTCCCCCGTGACTGCCCAACCTCCGTCTTTGCCGAGGTCAGCAAAGACCCTCCGGCTGTGTCTCCTAGTGAGGGCCCCACGGAGAAGAGGCAGGGCCCCGCCCCGGGCCGTGCCGTCTCATGCGGGGCAGACTCACCCAGGGCTGCAGTCTCAGGAGAGCCAGCGTGGGCTCCAGGGAGGGAGAGGGCAAGGGGAGCGTCAATTGCAAAAGTGGTTTAGAACATAGAAGACCCTCTACAAAGAAAGAGCCCCCTCCTGCCCCTGCCCCTCGCGCGGCTCCCCGGGAACCGCTGTCATCCCTACTCCTCCGCAGGGCGACGCTGGCACTCGTGGCCCGGAGTCAGCGCCGACCCCCGGGCACGTCCCCGGCAAGGCCACCCTCACGTCCCACGTCGGGGCTCTTCCATGACCCCAGTGCCGTGATTCGCCAGAATGACGCGGGAACTCAGGCCCCGCACTGGGCGTCACGGTTTCGCTGTAAAGGATCAGGACCAGCCACGAGACGGGGTCCGGGCAAGTCCCAGACACGGAGCCCTGTCCCCTCCTCGTGGGGTCAGCACGGCACCCTCCCGGCGCGTCAGGTTGTTCACCGACCAGGAAGCTCCGCTAAGCTTTGGCGTCCGGAGTTTTCAGCGGCGTTTCCCTGTGTAGCGTGATCGCTCGAGTGATTGGCTGTGGCGGTCGGCCTAGGGTGCGACTTGCTGTGGTCACGCTGTGGGTCCGGAGAGGCCGCTAGCCCGTGGCACCTGTCCGTCGTCAGGGACACGGAGCAGAGAAGCCGGGTTGGCCATTCCGGTCGAAGTGAGTCTCCGGCCCTGCTCCCTGGAGGCCGGGAGGCCGGGCTGCTGCCGGGCTCCAAGCCCCGACTCCCTAGGGGTGTTTCTGGCACAAACAGCCCACCCTCGACTCGGGGGAGTCACCACACTGAGAGTCACCCCACCCCAAGTCACCTAATCGGTGGAAACTCAGGTGTGGCCCCAGGGGACCACCGTGAATAACAAGACAGTCCCCACTTGGGAAGCTCCCTCCAAGGACCGACAAGTCTCCCAGAGATTTCCTAAAATAGAAATACATCGGGTGATCCCCCAGCCACCCTTTTTCACACAAAAGCTGTGAAAACTCCCCGCCGTCTCCTGGCCTTTCTTTCCTCGGTTACCAGCATATCCTGGCGTCTGTCCGCACCTGTGTGTCCGGGGCTCTGTTGCTGTTTCACAGCCGCGGAGGTCCTGCCGGGTGCCCGGACCTCCTTCTGTTGCGCTGGTCTCCCACGGTGGGCTGTTCCCAGTTTTGTTGCTGTTAGGAGCAAGAGTTAATGGGCCGGGCGCGGTGGCTCACGCCTGTAATCCCAGCACTCTGGGTGGCCAAGGCAGGAGGATCGCTCGAGGTCAGGAGTTCGAGACCAGCCTTGGGCAACATAGTGAGATCTCCCCCCCACCAATCTCAACACAAATAGAAAAAAGTTATTCGGGCCTAGTGGCACACACCTGTAGTCCCAGGCACGTGCCACTTGGGAGGTTGAGGAGGGAGGATCACTTGAGCCCAGGAGTGAGGCTGCAGTGAGCTGTGACTGCTCCACTGCACTCCAGCCTGGGTGACAATTAATTAAAAAAAAAAAGTTGATAACGCTGAGCACAGGTCATCCCGCCAGGGTACACGCAAAGGGGCCTGGGCGTGGGGAGCACATGCGTTTGTGACTGTGATTGGCACTGCCAGATTCCTTCCACCGTCCGCAGCCCTGCCGCAGAGCCGCGTCCCCCCCGGCGCCCTCGGCGTCCGTCACACCATCAGTGACATGGGCGCCCGGGGTGTTTAAGGGCCACCCGTGGCTCCTCCCCTGCTCACGTGGAAGGCGTGGCCTGCAGGGAGGGGGCAGAGGTCCGCGAGGCCCCGGCCTGCACTGGGAACAGCAGCTTTGCACAGGTGCAGGGAGGGGAGGGCGCCCTCGTGATGGGGGGGCGCCGTCGGACAGGTTGGGGGCCCCCGGGGTGGAAGGACCCAGGACTCAGGGTGGCCTCTGTGGGCGTCACCTCCCCTCCCCGCGGCAGGGGCGTGCTGCTGCATCCGCGGGAGGCTTAGCACCCGCACTCTGCTGCGGCCTCCCCCAGCCCCAGCTCTCACACGCGCCCTGTCCTGTCTAGGCCCTGTCCCGGAAAGAAGCCCAGCTCGGCCTGCTCAGCAAGGAGCTCTCCAGGGCCACCCGGGACCTGGAGCAGGCACAGCAGGAGGCCCAGAGCCGGCAGGAGCAAGCCGAGGTGAGCCGCGCGCCACCCAGCCAGGGCGACACCCAGCCGGGCATCTCCCTCCATCCCCCGCCTACTGGAACCTCAGTTTCCCTGACGTCTCCAGGTCTCCTGCTGAGACAGGACACGGTCTCGATGGGCAGGAAAGCCCAGAGCAACCAAAGCTCTGTCCTGGTCTCTGCCCATGGCCGTGAGCACCGGGACTCCACCTAGCCCAGTTTTCCCTCAGCCCCAGGGCTGGCAGAGGCCGGCGAGGGGAGGGCCTGGCCCAGCCTGCTGCTGCACTCGAGCTAGTGGCAGCGCGTGGGTTAGGGGTGGAACCCAGGCCTGTGTCCCCTCCCGGCCACACCAGCCCCAGCCTTGCCGTCTGTGCACCGAGCTGCTCATAGAAAAGCACAGCCGGGAAACGTGAGCTCAGGCCCCTCGGGCTAAACCCCCGGGGAAGTCCCCTTCCCAAAGAGAAACTGAGCCGGAGGAGGCTGGCACTGCACCCCAGGAAACCCTCGGCCGGAAGGGACACCCACGTTGCATCCTGAGCAGAGCCAGGAGAAAGGCATCCGCCAAGGGTCCAGGAGAGCCCCCCGCAAACAGCTGCTCCGCAGGCGGTGCACGGAGGCCCTCAGCCAGCTGGGGTCCCCTGGGACCCCTGACTCCTTGTCTGGAGCCCATGTGTGGGAGATGGGCAGGCAGCAGCAAAGAGGGTCTGGGGAGGGGCTCTGGGAGCCCTGTGCCTCCCCCCACAGGCCAGGCTGGGCACCCACTGCTGTCGCTGGCAGGGTGGCCTCTGACCGCCAGAGCACGAAGGCCCCAGCCCATTTGTGAAGTGGCGCCGGGTCCCAGGTGGGCGATGCAGAGACAAGGGCCCGTTGCGGGGAGGAGGTGGCCAGCACACGGTGGTAGTCGCGAGTCTGAGAGCCCAGGAGGGGCTGCTGCGGGCCCGGGAGTCCAAGCGAGGAGGGCTGTTTGCAATTGCTGTCCTGAGCGCCTGGCGGTGGGCTGGGCCTGAACGCGCACGGTGGGTGTGCGTACGGGGGGACAGACAGCCGCGAGGCACCAGGGACACGTCCCCTCCTGTGGGGAACACCCCATGCCTCCCCGACCCCAGGCTCCGGCCTGCGCCCCACTGTCCGGCCGCACACAGCGCGCTGGCTGGGCCCACCCCACCCCCCGGCTTCTGCCGTTGTCCTTCCAGCCCACGCGGCTCCGGGGAGGCACTGCCTGTGACCGTACCTGCTCGTTTTTAACCCTGAAGGTCCTTTTCCACCCTGGCCCCTGGAGTGCCCCCAGCCCCAAGGACACAAGGCCAGATGCTCCACTGGTGTGGAACAGATGACGCAGTTTGTCAGTGGTCAGCCGCGGCGCAGGCCCGGGCTGCGGAGCCTTCTCCTCTGGCTGACTGCCCAGGAGGCGTGGGCAGCCCGCCCGGGGGCCTCAGCAGAGCCCGGTTACTCTGACAGCCGGGGTCTCGTGGCCAGACTCCGGGTCTTGTGCAGTCGGAAGGGGTCTTGCAATGAGGACCCGACTGCCAGGATGTTTCTTCAGCCCCTCCTGCCTGGCTCCACAGCCGGACCCTCGGTCCACTGAGCAGGGCCGTCCAGGGAGCTGCTGGCGCCCGGACGCCTCACTCAAGAGCCTCCTGTCCCCCCTGGAGCCCCCAGCCCTGCTCCGTCCTGCCCAAGGCCCGGGTGGCCCTTCCGGGACTGTGACTGTGCCCCTCCTGCCCCCGAGCCCGGCCCAGCTGCTCCCTCCGCCACACCCTGTGGGCAGAGAACCAGGAGAGCCCCCCCGAGACCCCGGGAGCTGACACCTCCAGCTCGCAGAGGGTCTCCTTGGAGCCAGCGCTGGCTTCTGGAGCCTTCTTTCGTGCTGGCCCTGAGTCTGGCCCTGGACTTGGGACCAGGCCTGCCGGCCGGCCGGCTGGGCTCCATGGGGAGCTCATTAAGGGCCCTTTTGCCACCTCAGCTCAGAAAATGGAAATTAAAGCCCATGAGAGGAGCGGGAGGAGAGAGATGGCAGCCAAAGCACACGCGTCGTGGGATGACGGGAAAACGGCCACCCCGGGCGGGCGGAGGGTCCTCCCCGCTGAGTCACCACTGCTGCTGGGGCTCCCGGGCAGTGCCCTGCGGCCAGGCCTCACTGAGCACCCACCGTGGGCAGTGCTGGGTGGTGCTGGGAGCCCAAGGTGACGCTTGCCAGTCCAGAGGGACAGTGTGGCAGTGCTGAGGGGGCGGGGCAGTGCGAGGGGGTGGGGCAGTGCAGGGGGTGGAGCAGTGGGAGGGGCGGGGCAGTGCTGAGGGGGCGGGACAGTGCTGAGGGGTGGGGCAGTGCTGAGGGGGGTGGGGCAGTGTGGAGGGGGTGGGGCAGTGGCACCTCTGCCAAAAGCAGGAGGCGGAGCCTGGTAGGGGCCCCGCCCAGCAGTGCCCTCCAGCAGCATCTCGCTGGGGGCTCCCCTAGATCTGCACAAGGGTGTGGGCGCCTGTCCTCCCTGGAGCACAAAGCTGGCTCCAGAGGGCCCCAACCCCCGCCAGCCACTCACCTGCCCTGCACAGCGGCCTGACAGGTCCCCCGAGCCCACAGACATGGTGCCCTGAGGGGAAGGGCTCTCAACCCTTCCTGCTGAGGCCGCTGAGGCCTGGGAGCCGAGCCCACCCTGGGCCCAGCCAGCCCCACTGCCCCAGGGGGTGTGGGGGAGGGTCCTTGCAAGGCCTCGGCCGGGGCAAACCGGGCGGCATCTTTCCGTGGACGAGGAGGCACTTGGAGCACTGCTGTGGGCCGAGCACGGAGCGCGTGGGCCGGCAGGACTGCCTCCCGCAGGTGCCCAGGAGGAGGGTGTCTTGGGTGCTGTGGCTGACGGGGAGCAGACTCGGGCTGAGCCGAGTCCCCAGTGGATGTCAGAGTGGCCCGAGCAAGGCGGCCACGTGCCCGGCAGTGCGCAGGCTGAGGGAGCAGCTGTCCCCAGGCGTGTCTGTGGCATTCACGTGTTTAGAGCTGGTGGGGACGGTGGACATCCCCTCACGCCACCGCCTATTTGACAGCTCAGGAAACCGAGGGCCAGTTGACGGGGGCAGGGCCCAGCTCCCCCGTCCCAGCCGTGGCCACCTCTGGCTCTGAGGTCCTGGCCTCCTCGGCCCGCAAGGGTTGGGCCCGGGCCACAGGGAGCGGTGGGAGGCACAGGGCCAGGAGAGGCAAGTGCCCCCCCACTGTGCTGACTGCAGCGTGTGCTCCAGGCCACGGGGCCACAGGACGTGGGGTGCTGTCCCCATGCCAGCCAGGCTTGTGTGGCCAGTGAGCCCGGTGAGGGCAGAGCTCACTGCCCGGTCGCGGCAGTCCCAAGTGCCAGGGTCGTTCGAGGGCCTCTTCTTGTTGGCCAAGTGGCCATTCCTGTCCCCTCAGCACCCAGCAGAGCCAGCAGGAAGTGGTCAGTGACTGAGACCCCAGCTGGGCCCCTGCTGCCCACCCTGCCTGCCCTGGCAGCCTGGGGACCGCAGAGGAAAGGCACAGGGTGGGGGATGGAGCCTTCCCAGGGGCGCCCCTCTGGCCTGTGCCCCACCACGGCCCCCGGCGTAAGCACCCCAGCTCCAGCCCCCGCCCTACCTGCTGCCGCCTGGTCACAGGACAGCAGACTGCCAGGACGGCCTCCCGGGTGCCACCGCGGGCTCTCTGCCTCCCCCAGGCCACCATCCGCGCCACGGCAGAGGAGCTTAAAGCCCTCCAGGCCCAGTTTGAGGGAGCCATCGCCACCCACCAGAGGGAGGCAGCGGCCCTGAGCCAGAGTGTGCGGGACGTGGCAGCCGAGAGAAGCGACGTGGAGAGAGAGGTGAGGGGGGGCCGGGGAGGGGAGGTTGGGGGCTGGGCCCATGGGGAGGTGCGGGGGGCTGGGAGGGAGAGGAGAGCGTGGGGTGCCCGGGGGAGGGAGGGCCCGCTGCAGGAGGAGAGGATGGTAGCAGGGGGCTGAGAGGGGTACACGGCTGCACAGGCCACGGGGTGCCCCACCGACGCTCTCACACCAGTGAGATGGTGCCCGGCCCCTGCCAGCAGCTGGGCGAAGCTGACGCCTCATTTGTAGTGAAAAGAAGGGTCATGTCTAAGCTTCGAAAGTGATGCATTTGGCTTTGGGGGAGAAAGTGGGCTGGACCTGATTCGGGGTCCTGGCCGGATGGGGCGGGAGCTGCCTGTGGGCTGCAGGGCTTTGGTTGGTGGGGGTGGGCCCCACTTTGTCCTGGGAGGGTGCACGGCGCCCCTGCCGCTCTCAGCGCCGTGGGGGGGTGCAGCCGCCTCTGGGAGGGCAGCATGGAAGGGTTGGCCGGAACCACTGGGCCAGTCCAGCCCTCTCGATCCACACGCAGCCGAGAAAATCACATCAGGGAGGCCCCGGCTCAGGGGACACCTGCACCCCCAGCAGCGGACGCGGCCCTCGTGCAACGGCTCCTAGGCCTTCCCGAGAGGCAGGCGCGACCTGGGGGGCAGAGCGGAGCCCAACCCTCCGCGGAGAGACCCCCATCTGACAAGTCGTGGGAAGACCAGGCTCTCCCACCAGCACGAGCAGGGACCCCCAGGTTTGGGCACGGGGTGGGGAGGGGCTGGACTTGGGGTGCCAGGGCAGGGTCCAGTGGGGGTTTTAGTGGGTTTTCAGGGGTGGCCTGAAAAAGGTTGACACGAGGCCCAGGAGCCCCAGGACGTGGCGTGGGTGTGGGTGGATCAGCGGGCACGCGGACCGTGAGGGTTCTGAGAAGATGCGACAGGACGGGAAGACCAGGCAGGGGCTGCGCCGGGGGAGGGGATGGTCAGCAGAGCCCCAGGGGGCCCTCAGGGGCAAGGAGGCCTCGCGCACCCCCCGGGCTGTGTGCCGGAGCTGGCGGGCGGGCGTCGACCTGGCCCCGGTGCGAGCAGCCACGCACACGAGACCCCAGAGGCCAGGCCGTGGCCGGCGGGGGCAGAGTAGGGAGGGGGCTGGGCCCTCCCAGGCACCCCGAGAGGCAGGCGGGGCGCCCGGAGAGGAAGAGAATGTGATTTAACATGACGGGCTGTTTACGCTGGCCCCAGAGAGAAAGGTCTCCTTTCAACAGATTTCAAAGTCAGGCCGGTCGCGACCACACGGGGGACAGACGAGGTTTCCAAACAGGGCAGCGGGGCGGGCCGGAGGCCCGGCCTTTGTTCTGCGGGATGAGGGAGAAGCACAGGCCTCCTGGGAAGTTCAGGTTCTCTGAGAGGCGGCCCCAGAGAGGGAGTGGGGTCCCCAGAAGGGAGAGCGGCACCCTGAAAGGAAAGGAGGCCGTGGGAGGCTGCCCGGCCGGGCGGTGGGTCACGAGGAACAGGGCAGGGAAGCAGCAGAGCCCTCCCAGGTGCCAGCCTGGCGCAGGGTCGTCATGGAAACCATGCATTCTCACAGCCCTTAAATGGCTCTTGCAGCCCTGCCTGAGGTCCACACACGTGTGCGTGCACACACATACATAAGCCACGTGTGGACACGCCATGCGCACCTATGTACACGTGTACACCCAGGGTGATAAGCGCAGGATGAGCACACACATGCGCTCACATGTGCACACAACACGCAGGCGGCTAAACACATACGGGTGCCATGCAGTACACATGCATATGCACAAGAACGTGCACCAAACACACACACACATGCGTGCACACGCTCACACGCACACACATCTCGCATGCATGTGAACAGACACGTGCACACGTGGGCCGGTCCCCATGCAGCCCCCTCTGCCTCCCCTCTGCCGCCCTCCTCCCTGCAGAGTTCCGGAGCTGCCTCCCTGCAGGAGATTTCAAAAGAGGCTGTTTATACAATTTCTAGTAAAGAAATAATTATTATAATCACATTAAGCGATTTGGCTGTTAAATTCCTGTAAAAGGGATGGTTGTTCTCATGTGGCGGAGGGCGCGGGCGGGGCCCCCGTCTGTTTTGCTTGTTTTCATCTCCCTGCCTGGGAATGAAACAGCGTCCTGTATGACGGATGGGCCCCCGCGCTGGTCCTTGACCTTCTGGGCGGATTTCTGCTGAGCTCGCGGAAAATGCTCCGCACGGCTGTGGCTCCCACATGCGGGGGGTGGAGGGGAGCGGGGAGGCTCGAGCCCTTCCCAAAAACAGAACAACAACAACAGCGGCAGGCTGGGGAGCCAGGCCGGCCAGGGCCTGGACAGCGTCCCATGAGGACAGCCAGCGGAGGGGTTTGCTCTTGGCAAACCGGTGACTTGACGTCGCTGAGTTTTTGCAGCTTCCTCTGTCAGCTGCCCCTGCTGGCTCCCCCCCTCCTCCCCGGGGACCCGCCAGAGCCAGAGTGGAGCCTTCTCCAAGGTTTCTGGTCAAGGCCAGCGCTCGGGCCAGGAGGCAGGGGACCAGGGCCAGGGCCAAAGCCCGGCAAGTCCCCGCAGCCCCTGCCCCAGGTCTGAGGCCTGCAGGCTGCGCTGTCCTCCCCCTAAGCCCACCGAGGGCCCTCCTGGGCGCCTACGGGGCTGGCCTCCCAGGGCTGGGAGCCAGAGGAGGACCCTGACCCCACTACGCTTCACATAACTGCAGGGTTAGCAGGCCCTGGGTGGTGGGGAGGGCGCCCGGCAGGGGTCACACTCTGGCCAGAGCAGGCCTGGCGGGGATGAGGACTCACACCTGTGGCCCCTCACGGAGGTGCAGAGCGGCCTGAGGCCAGCGGCTGGGCTGCCAGGCTGCCAAGGCCAGGGTCAAGGGCCGCATGGCCGCCAGTGGCTCCGGAGCCCTCCCGCCAGGGCCTCCCACCTCCGCTGCCCCCGCCCGGGACCGAGAGGCCCGCGCTTCTGCAGATCGAGCCTCGAGGACGGCTCCTGTGACAGCAGCCACCTCCTGCCCAGCAGCAGGACGGCCCGGCCCGAGTGTCCCCTAGGGCTGCATGGGGTTCCAGGGCACAGGCGCCCCGATGCCCTCCCTCCCACCACCTCTCGCACCAATGGGCCAGGCCACAGCTGTGCTGGGGTCAGCGCCAAGCCCCTGCCAACACGCTGCCGCGGGAGCAGCATGGGGGGATGGCCGTCGGGCAGTGGCAGCTGAACATGGAGAACAGTGCCCACGTGTGGACAGAGCCACGTCCCAGGCGGGCCCTGCCGACCAGTGGTCGCGTCCCAGGGTCCCAGGGGAGTGCAGGCAGGGCCAGGCCCGGAGGGGTAGGGTGGGGTCTGCCCGGCCCTCTGCGGCCTCAACACTGGAGGGAGAGGTGGCGCGGGGGACGGGGGGGAAGCTCGTGGGGGCCCAGGGCTGGCTGGGACACTGGTGGCCGCCAGACCGTAGTCAGAGGCCGCGTGCCCAGTGGCTGTCCCAGAGCAGGAGCGTCTGGGCCCCCGGCCCCCGCCCCCAGCTGGCCCCTGGAGCTGCGCGCTCCTCCCCAGGCGGAGCGGCTGCGCACTCAGCTGAACGTGGCCCAGGAGGAGCTGGCCGTGCTGCACCAGGAGCTGCAGGGTGCGGAGGAGAGCCGCGAGCGTCTGCGCAGGGAGGCCCAAGAGCTGGACGTGCTGCGCTCCTCCAACAGCGAGCTGCGGGCCACCCTCCGCGGGGCCGCGCAGGAGAAGGCCAGGTAGGGCAGCCGCCCGGGAGCAGGCGGGGAGCCGGCGGCCTGCTGCTCAGCCCGGGCTGGGCCTTGGCGAGGACATGCACAGGGGGTGGGTGGGGCGACCCACAGCGGAGCTAGGCAGGGCAGACGGCGGGCAGACGCACCAAGCGGGCCTCTTGCTGCCCAGCCAAGGGCTCTGCAGTGCTGGCCTCGCAGGGGGAGGCCGGGACACGGCAGACCTGTCCCTGCCTGCAGGGAGTTCCCATCCAGCTGGCAGGGCGGCCTCCTCCAGGGCACAGGGGAGGGCAGGTCCCGTGGGGGCAGCCGGGCTGGACTGGGTGTTGGAGTCTGGGGGTGTGATCCAGAGGTGAGGGGGTGACAAGGCAGGGGCCACCTGGGCACTCGGACCTGGGTGGACGTGTGCCAAAGGAGACAGGGCCCTGCAGAGGCTTGGCCTGGGGACCCTGGAGCGTCAAGACGGGCAGCGTCTCACGAGGTGGGCAGAGACCTGCCAGGCAGCTGGGACGGCCACCCCTTCAGGGAGGGGCCGGGCCCCCGGCTGGCGTCCCTGGCCCCAGCTCAGGACACCTCCTCAGTTTTAAGCGGTCAGCGGAGGAGAAGGGGCAGAGGCTGTTTGTCCTGGAGGAGGCCGCAGCAATGGCGCAGCGGGAGGCCGGGGCGCTGCGGGCCGGCCTGCGAGAGCTGGAGCGTGTGCAGGGGGACGCCCGCCGGGAGCTCCAGGAGCGCCGCAGACAGGTAGGGCGGTGGGGGGGCTCCGACACCCAGCCGCTGCAGAGACACCCTCCCCCTGGGGGCCCAGCTCCACAAGGCCCCCCCGGGGCACCCCAGGGCTGCGGTGCGAGAGCCCCAGCCCCGCCACCACTGCCATCGGAGCTCTGGCCCCAGGCTTAGGGCCTCCCGTGACAGGCTCAGGGAGGGCAAACGCAAGAGCGTTCGGGAGGAAGAGGGGAGAGCGCAGAGCGTGGCGGCACATACAGCTCCCCAGACTCAGTGGCTTAAAAACATCTTCGTGCTCACGAACCCCGTGGGTGAGGAATTCCGCCAGGCACGGAGGGGGGGCCTCGGCTGGTGATGGGGCTGGCGTCACCTGGGGGTGGCTGTGGGTGACGCCCCAGGTCTCCCCCTGGGCCGGGCTTCCTGGCGGTGCGGCGGCCTTGGGGTAGCTGGCATCCTCACCACCACCCCACGCGCCCTGATCCGAGCGCACCTGCGCCCCACCGAGCCCTCCTCCTTGCCCCGGGTCCCCCTAGTGTCCCGGCCCTGGAGAGGAGGTGCCAAGCGGGGGGACGCTTCCAGGGGCGGGAGCAGGTGGGGGTGCCGACGGCCCCTGGCCCGGAGGTGGGCTTAGCCTGGGCCTCTGAGTGTGGCCGTGAGGGAGGACGGGTGAACGCAGGCCGGGGCTGGCCGGGTCCGGCGTAGAGGCCGGGCGACCACGTCGGTGCCATCCACGCTGTCCCAGGTGAGGACGCTGGAGGCCGAGAACCAGAGGAGGAGGCGAGAGTGCAGCGAGCTGCAGGCCCAGTGTGCGCAGGAGGCGCGGCGGGGGCGGCGGAGCGCGCAGGAGGCGCTGGAGCTGCAGAGGCAGGCGGCCGCGGCGGAGGCTGCCCTCGCGGGTGCCCGGACGGAGGTGGGGCTGCCTGGGGGGTGGCAGTCGTGTGGGGTTGGGGGCAGCAGGGCTGGCCCAGGCGCGCCTGTCTCCTCACGGCCCCGTGGGTCTGTCCACGTCCTGCCGTCCTGCGTGCAGCCGGCGCCGGGGAAGGGACTCTGAGTGGATCCAGCTGACACCGTGACCCCCGACCCAGGGTTCTGAGTGTTAGACAACGGCAGAGCTCTGAGCCTGGGGAGAGGCAGGGAGGCCCCAGATGGTCGGTTCCCAGAGAGCGCGCCCTCCGCCACGGCTGCACACGGCACGCCCCCCTCTGCCCAGCCCAGCGCAGCCCGTCCGTCCTGTGTGCTCGAGGGCTGTGCTGCGCGTGGCCGGGGGCCGTGGACCCCCACAGCCTGCAGGGGCCAAGGCTCGGTTCAGACCCAAAGCCACACGTGCAGCGGCCACCATGCCAGGGAACGCGGGGCTCTCCGCCCGCAGCCGTGAGACCCCACGTGACCTCGCAGCCCCACACCTCTGTCACGGAAGGGTCGTTATGCGGCGGCCACCCAGAGTGGGAGCTGAGGCGTGGCCCCGCGCCCGGCCCTGCACTCTGCTGCCCGCGGGGAGGCAGACCCGGGGTCCGTCCAGCCGTGACCTGCCCAGGGCTCGAGGCTGAGAGAGCCGGGGGCGAGTCTTGGGAGGTCAGGTGGGTCGGGGCAGTGATCAGGGCCTCCCTCTTAGCCTGGCCGCGCCCTGGTCCTCCATGTCCCTGGAGCCCCCATGTCCCTCCTACAGGTCCTGGGGCTGCAGCGGAAGTTGGCGGAGGTGGAGGCCGCAGCGGAGGCCCGGGGACAGCAGCTCCAGGAACAGCTCCGCGAGAGCCGGGAGGCCGAGCAGGCCCTCCGGGCCGAGCTGCACAGCGTCAGCAGGAAGCTGCAGCAGGCCAGCGGCGGGGCCGACAGCCTCCAGGCTCGCCTGGACGGGGCCCGTCACCGGATCCACAGCCTGGAGCAGGAGCTGGCCCAGGCCGAGGGCGCCAGGCGGGACGTGGAGGCCCAGCTGGGCCGGCTGTGCTCCACGCTCCGCCGCGGCCTGGGGCTCCGGGGACAGAGCCCCTTGGCTTCCCCTGAATGGCCGGGCTCCCCAGCCAAAGGTCAGCATCCTCAGTGGTGGCAGGCGGGCTCTTGTCCCAACTCTGTCCCCAGCCTGGGGCACCCCAAGCCCTCTGGGGCCTCACAATCCAGCTGGGGCTGGGGGCTGGGCCAGCCCCAGCAGTTTAGGGGCCTGCACTGAGCCCTCGAGCTCTCGTGGGCAGGGGCAGCAGAGAAAGCGGGAAGGGTGCTCACCTGCCCCTGATTCCCGCCCACGACCCTCCCACAGGCTCTGACAGCTCCCAGGCTCGCCCTGGGCCTCAAGGTGCCAGCCTCCCCACCAGCCCCCACTCGCCCACACCCGGAGGCCACGGACCAGAGGTCGTGGACGTGGCCTCTGTGCGTGACGCCCTGGGGGACCTTGTGCAGAAGCTTCGGGATGCCCAGCAGGGCCAGGTAAGAGGGGCCTGGGTCCTCCCCCCACCCCAGCACATGCCCCAGGGGGGCTCAGGGAGATGGGGACGGACGCATCCCCTCCCCCAGACTGTTGTGAGCCTGTCCCTCTGTCCCCGGGTGTGCAGAGACCCTGGTGGGGCCCTGTGGGTCAGTGTCCAGACAGTCCTGTTTGTCGCAATGAATTCCAGTAATGCTGCCGTCCCTCGAAACCCGGCTGCCGCCAGTGGTTGGGCTCCGCCCCTCCATCGGGCCGGCTGCAAAGGCCCTGTGGCCACACCCTGCTGTGACACCCACTTGGTCCGGGACAGGGCATTCTCTATCCCATGCCATCCCCTGAAGAACTGTCCCCAGGGGCTGGGGACACTGCAGGACAGACCTGCCAGGCCACCCTCAGCATGTGCCCAGTGACCCCTCACATGGGGGCCAGGTCCCCCAGCGGCCACTGGTGCTCCTGGCCCCAGGGCTCCCCCAGAGCTACCTGTGGGCTGTCCCCTCCCAACTCTCCAGGTGACAGGGTGGATATGGGACTCAAGTGGGGGGGGGGCTGTGTGAAAGACAAACGATCCCCGAGCCTTGGGTCCCCTGTGGTCACCTGTTCCCTTCAGGCCCCTATGCAGCCCGAGGTCCTGGCCAGGGGCAGCCCCTGCAGGGCACCCCGACCCACAGGCCACAGGCCACACCCGCCAGTGCCCGACACTACATCTGTACCGGAAACCTGGACCCTTGGGGCCCCACTCAGCCCCTGCCCTCCCCAGGCCTGTGGGTCAGCTCAGCACCCAGCTCGGCCCGGCCCCCCCGCAGCCAGTAGCCACCCGGCCCCTGCACAGCCCGTGACCCCAAGCTAGACCGCGAGCTGCCCCTGGCGCCCCACCCCCTGTAGGACCCCAGCCCTCTGCCCTCCTAGCTGCCCGCTGACCTCCGCCCTCCTGCCCAGGACGACTACCGCGTCCAGGTGGCCGGCCTGAGCAGCCAGCTGAGCGAGGCGGAGAGCCAGCGCGCCCAAGCCCAGAGCCGCGTGGGGCAGCTGCAGACGGCCCTGGCCCAGGCGGAGGAAGGTGACCTCCCTCCCCCACCACTCCCCACCCCCGGGGGCATCTGCGGGGAGCACCGCTGTCCCTGGCCACTGACCGCCATGAGCGTGTGGTTGGCGGCCGCTCAGGGAGGGCCCCGGGGCAACACCGGAACCAGCCCCCGCCTCCCAGGCAGCCCCTGCCTGGCCTCCCCATCCCCTCCTCCCCCCCTGCCTGCTGCCCCCGCCCCGTGTCTCAGGGTCTGCCAGGAGCGTGGGCGCAGGGCCCAGCAGGGACGTGGTGGTGAGGGAAGGGAAGAGGTTGGGGAGCAGGACGGGCAGGGGCGGACCTGGAGTGTGGTCGGGGCAGCGGGGACCCCGGGCCGGCCCCCGGGACCCTTGAGCTGGGAGGACGGAGGAGCCTCTCCCCTCCCACCATCCCCGTGCCCGTCGCTCAAGCCCACGAGCCTCGGACCGGCAGCCTGTGGACTGCGAGGGGCCGTGGGGGACCCTTGAGCCACCTCTTGCCCTACAGGCCGGCGCCGGGCAGAGAGTGCCCTGAGCAGCGCCCGGACGTCGCGGGCCCTGCAGAAGGAGGCTCTCCGCAGGCTGGAGGCCGAGCACCTGGCAAGCCTGCGTGCAGCCGGCCAGGAGAAGCGGCGGCTCCAGGTGGGGCGCGCCCGGACGGGGACCTGGGTCCAGGGACACGGGGACGGGGCCCTCAGTCACCCTCACAGCCTGGGAGGCGGCCAGAGAGCGGGAGGTGGAGGGAGGGTGCTCTGAGGGCTCCTGGGAGCATCATCGCGGGAGCCACTGGGGAGCCGGGCGGGTCCCTGTGGGCAGAGGCACAAACCGGGCAGCAGCCGGTGGCCTCAAGGGTCCTCAGAGTTTGGGCACGGGGCCCCGGGGCCATCCTGGCACAGCTGTCTTTACGGTGGTCCTAGCCCTTGCTTTACAGATTGGGGAAACTGAGGACTTGGCCTGGTGGCACAGCCAGTGAGGGCAGAGCCACGGCCCCCAGGCCCTTCCTGCTTTTGGAGGCCACAGCAGCAGGCACAGAGGTGGCACTGGCCTGGCTCGGGGCTCTTCGTGGGTCACATTCTGCTGCTCGGGGACCCATTGCCCGTCCACGGCCCTCAGACACGGGAGGGGTTGCGTAGGACGCACCTGGGTAAACGCACCTCGTGCCGGCTTTGTGAGGGGACGGGGGCCACTGCGTCTGCGGCTCTCGGGTGAGAAGGCGCGGCCAGGCCTGGGGCTGGGGGCTGGTCCAGGCCGCCCTCCTCACGGCTGGCGGGAAGCCCTGCGCCCATCCCGGACAGGGCTCGCTGGGTCACTCCGGAGCGCTCTGTCAAAGACCCCGGAAGCCTAGAGGATGGGTGCCTGGTGGAGGCCCCCGGGCGGTCACCCATCAGGGACCCGGGGCTCCCCGAACTGTGCTGGGAGATGGGATTGCGCACGGCGGCACGGGGGCAACATGGACCACGGGTCTCCCCGCGCCAAGGAGGGAGCCCGCTGGGCCTCAGCGCAGAGGCCAGACCTGGCCACCCCGGCCCTGCTGGCTCCATGCAGCCTGGGAGCTGGCGGCCACAGAGGCCACCAAAGGGCTGTCAGCACTGAGGCCAGGCAGGCAGGGGAGGGGGCCCCTGAGGAGGGGCCTCCCGCAGGGGAGAGGGGAGAGGGCAGCCGCGGAGAGCAGAGGCCGGGCTGCTGAGAAGGGACTGCCTTGTCCGCCCGGAGCTCGCGGTGCTGGAAAAGAAGTTGTGCGGGGAGAGGGCATTTCTGTGTCAGGAAGACGCCTCCGGCCACAGCTGCTGGGGCCCGACAGCCCGGAGGGGCCCAAGGGTGCAGTGGCCTGGCCGGGAGGGCAGCGGGGTTGTGAGCTGCTGGGGGATGTGGGGCCCCAGGGCCAGGGGCTGCCGCTGGCTGGGCGGGGCCGGGGGCCCTCACGCATGTTCGCATGGGTGCGTTCCGTGTGCGTCTGAAAACAGCATTTTCTGTTTACAGATTACACATTTTGAAGTAGACCTTTTAAATCAGCCTTTGCAAATGATTCAAGTAGTCCACATTTTCAACCGATAGGTAACATTTTGGCAGGAAAAAAAAAAGAGCAAATAGCCCGCGTTTGACCAAGCTCCTGAACTGTCAAAGCTGAGCGTGACGTGTTGCTCTCCCCGATACGGCTTTCTGTCACACCTCCTCTTACCCCAGGGGTCTTCGATCCCTGTTCCCACAACACCTCCACGCCCCGTTGGCGGTCTGTCCCGAGTCCTGCGGACGCCTTCTCCTCCTCCTGGCCTCCGCGTCTCCGCACCCTCGGCCTGGCTTTGGTTCCAAACCCCCATCATGGCCTTGTCCTTCTGGGGGCTCGTATCCCACTGGGAAGTCGCGTGACACCATTCACGCTCTGCGCTTTCTCTGACCGCCGCTGCGCCTCCCCACTGTCTCCTGTCCTCCTCCTGCTGGGAGGGTCGCTCCTGCCCCCTCCCCCCGCACGTGCACCGCGCTGCTTCCCGCGTCCACCTGCGCCCTGGGGCTGCTGCTCCTCCGAGAACCCTGCTCTGGGCACCCCCGTCCACGCCGCCGGGGCTCTGTGGTCTCCCCGGCCCCTTCTTTCTCCTAAGCGCCAGTGGGCGCGGGGAGCAGCGCCTGCCGGAGCGTCTGACCTTCCCTCGTGTCCGCAGACCCCAGGGCTCACCACTCACGGTGCCCACAAATTACTGACGACCTAAACAGACTGATGACTTCAAACGACCCCACTTCCGAGCCCCCGGTCCTCTGGGTCAGAAGTCCGGCCGCTGTGGCTGGTACCCGCCCTCGGGGCTCACCCAGGTGCCGGCGGGGTCCAGTCCGTTGCAGTCGTCAGCCTGAGGTCCCCCTGCCTGGCCGTCAGCCCAAGCCGCGGCGCTCCCGCCGCCACTCCCCCGCCAGCCTGGCCCTTCCCGTGGCGGCGGCAGCAGCAGGCGGACGCCCCACACCAGCTCCCCGACCTCACCGCTTCCTCCGCCGCCGCCTGCAGGGCCGTGGGGTTCGACTGGGCCTGGATGGTCCCCCTCCGGTTAACTCAGAGTCCACGGACTGGCAGCCCTAATCCGTCCACCAAATCCCTTTGCCACGTGACCCGACATAGTCCCAGGATGGCCTCAGACGCCAGAGTCACGGGGCCACTCTAGGGCTCCGCCGGCCACCCTGGTTTTAGCGGTTTGTGGACGTCTCGGCCGGTGGCTCAGGGGGACTCGGGTCCCTCTCTTCTCGGAGGGGCTGTTTCTGTCGGACTTTGGGCTCTTTGTTTGCCCTCTGACCTCGGTCTCAGATGGGTTCTAGAAGTGCAAGGATTTTCATGGGTTCTTTGGGTTTCTCTTGTCAGTGCTGTTCCCAAGTGGAAGCCAGAGGCACATTTTGTCTCTGAATTCAGACGTGCGGCCGCTGACATGACGTGGGCCGCCTTCAGCGTTCTGCGTGTTCCTGGTGGGCCCTGTCCGCGAGCATCTACAGACCTTCCTTCCGCCTTCAAGAACGTCTCTCTGCTTCTCTCTCCTCCGTGCTCCGCCCTGGAATCTCAGCCTCCCAGCGCGGCTCCTGGGCCTGCCGGCGGCCCCAGGTGCTGGGAGACGCTCAGCCTCCCCCCACCCGGCTAACGGGATCGTCTGCCGCGCCGTCGCAGCTGCCTGTTTTTCCAAGGTCGCCGCTCTCCGGCCCCTGCTCTGGTCTCACTCGAGAACGGCAGTTACTGCTTTCTGCCTTTTCTTGCAGTAACTCGCTTGTCTTTTTAACTGGAGACCCTCAGATCTGATCACTCGGACTTTGTTCTCCTGATCCTCAGGGCCTTGCTACTTCGTCTGCGATTTTCCCCTCAGGTCTCTAAAGAAAGGAGCTCTGGGCCTGTCGAAAGTCGGGGGTGGGAGGAGGTGCCAGGGCCCTCCCGCGTCCCCGTCCAGCTGCTCCGGGCGCGAAGGAACGGCGGAGAGAAAGGCTCTGAGATCCTGCAGCTCGGTGTCCCTGGGGAGTGTGGGGGGCAGCGCTGCAGGCAGGACTGTCCCTCCCAGAGCTTATCTGAGCCCCAGGCACAGAGGGCAGGTCCCATCCTCCAGTGACACCGTCTTGGTGGTGCCCTGCGCCCCCGGCCACTCTCCTGCCAGGATCGAAGGTCCCTTGCCGGGTCCCTCGCCGCGGTAACCTGCATCCCCCGAGGCCCTGGAGGGAGAGAGCGGATGGGCCCCCACGCCCCTGCGGCCTCCCTCCACCCTGGCCCACCTGCGCCATGGTGTTGGGGGCTGGGGCTCCACTGGGGTCTCCACACACAGTGCCCCGCCGGGTGCCGCTCGGATCTGCTCCAGCCGTATTAATTCTTACGCTTGATCTAGAACCTACTCAGTTTCTTAGTGAAGTGTGCCAAAGTCTATCGGTATTATGTCGATTTTCTATTATAATTCTGGCAACTATCATTTCTCCTATTTTTAGGCCAAGTTGGCCCCATCTGCCCTCAGGAACCCTCAAAGTTTCTCCAGCTCTGAAAGATTTTCCTAATTCGCGTATCTGTCGGTCACTGTGGTGGGCGTCTGGGGAGGGATTCAGGCCCCCGATGTGGACAAACAGCAAACCCGGCAGGGAGCTCAGGACCAAGGCCCTTCCCGCCAGCAAGGGGGCTGCACGCGGCTGCCCTCCGGCCGCCCCTGCCCGCGCCAGGCCAGCTTGCGGGGACCCAGCGGGCAGGCCTGGCCGCCTCCGGCTCTGCAAAACGCCAGCAGGCCCTGCACAAGCTCCGCACGGACACGACTCCTTGCTCTTTCCTGGATCAGTTGTTTCCCCATTTCACATAAGCCAACGTGTTTGTCAAGAGAAAGTTAATTAAAAACATACTTTTCTAATTAAATGGTAGGCCATGCTATGCAAACAGTGAGATTCTTGTTTGAGAGCAAATCCCTTCCCGTTTCCAGGGCTGCCCTGGGAATTCAGTGGGACAACAACGCGGACCTGCGCCCGCAGCGCCAGGCCACGAACGCTGCGGCAGGGGTCTGCGCACAGCTGGCCGGGCCCCAGCAGGCGGGAGGCCTGGCACCCTCCTCGCGCCCGTGGACAGGCCGCCCCATGTCACCCCCAGCCTGGCGCCCGGTCCCGGCCCCGTGGCTCAGAGGGGCTCACCTCGTTCCTGGACTCTGGCCCAGGCCGCCCGCTCCCTGCACCCAGCCTGCCGCGCACACCTCGGGTGCTCCGCCGCCCTCCAGGCTCAGGCTCTAGGAGCAAAGTCCCGGCCGTCTGCGGGGCTGCCCGGGGTCGCGGGGCCGCCCAGGGGTCGCGGGGCCCACACCGTGGAGCGGAGCCTCGGCTGGAGTCGATCACTCCCGTTTTGTCAGCAACGTTTGCATCTGTAATTCCTTCGTATGCCACAGTTTTCAGCCGTCTTCGTGTTCAGACTGTTTGGTTTCATGAAATGAGTCGGTGGCTCTCCGCCTTCTCCTGCCACCTGGAACAGTCAAACTACACAGGAACTAAGTTTTCTGAAAAGGTCAGTGAACTTCCCTGGAAACGCTCCGCAGCTGCCGGCGTTGGGGTGACTCCAACCCCCTCTCCGACCCCTTTCTGTGCTGCCGTTTCCGCCCCTTCCGGGTCAGGTTCTGGCGTCTGGGGCAAGGCGTCCTTCTTTCCTTCCGCGCATCCCCCGTGCGTCGCCGAGGGCTCGCACAGGTGTCCGCTTGACGCGGCCTCCCTCGCACAGAGGAGCTTCTGGGCCGGCCATCCCTGTCCTCAGTGCTGGCATCTGGGCCTGCTGACGGCCGGTTCCTGGTCTTCTCAAAGAATCGACGTTTATCCGTCCTCTCATTTCTGTCTAGTTTATTGATTCTGTTTTTATCCATGTTAAGTTCCTCTTTTCGTTGCCTTTCCTGTTGTAATGTCTCGATTTCTTACACGGAATCGTGCTTAGTCGCGCTTGGGCTTCCTTTCTCAACATTGGAAGCATTTGACGTCACCACTTTTTCCCTAATTGTGTCCCACAGGTTTTTTTTTTTTTTTTTTTTTTGAGACAGAGTCTCACTGTGTTGCCCGGGCTAGAGTGCCGTGGCATCATCTTAGCTCACAGCAACCTCAAACTCCTGGGCTCAAGCAATCCTCCTGCCTCAGCCTCCCGAGTAGCTGGGACCACAGGCATGCGCCACCATGCCCGGCTAATTTTTTTTTTCTATATATTTTTAGTTGTCCAATTAATTTCTTTCTAATTTTAGTAGAGACAGGGTCTCGCTCTTGCTCAGGCTGGTTTCGAACTCCTGAGCTCAAACGATCCGCCCGCCTCGGCCTCCCAGAGAGCTAGGATTACAGGCGTGAGCCACCGCGCCCGGCCCCCACAGGTTTTTGATACGAATTTTTTTCCTTTTAACCAATTTTTTTTAGGAGTTTCCGTTTTCATTTCTTCTTTAATTCAAGGGTTATTTAGAAGCGTGACCGCGTGCTGCGCCTCTTCCCGTCGCCTGTGTCCGGTCTCCGGGAGGGGCTGTGGCCACGGGCGGTGACGACAGTTTTCTCTTGATGTTCGCGTCCCTGGTTTGTCAGCTGTTTGTTGGTGGTTTGCTTTTTCTGGTTTGGTTTTGTCTATTTGTTTGTGGTGTGTTTAGAGGGAAACTGGACAAGCTAATTGCAAGTTTACAAGGAAGAATAGATGTTTGAGATTTTCCAAGAAAATTGTGAAAGCGAATCGTTAAGACCGGCCATAAGCTGGTCTGGCCACGGCAGGAGGGGCTGGCACGGGGCAGACAAGATGGCGGGACAGGACGGAGGGCGGGTGGTCCCGCCGGCAGCAGACCCCAGACTCCCGTGTGGGGCGAAGGGCTTCAGCCCCGTGGTGGGAGAACTCTCCAGAGCTAGCTCTGGTCCAGGACTGGCCTGAGGGCAGGACCAGGCGGCTCACCCGTGCTGGGAGCCCAGGGGTCCTTGCGAGTGGACGTTCGAATGTGCCCGCTGGCGCCCAGTGGAGAAAAACGTGTCAGGTTGACGACCTGAACTCCGGGGGCCGGAATGGTGGGTTCGGGGGTGTCGCGGAGGCCACAGGGTGTTTAAGGAGACCTCCGGCCCTCTGCCGGCTCCTCTCCCTCCGCTAACGTCTGCCCCCCTCTGTCCCGGCAGCCGCCCTCCCCAGCCGCCAGGGCCCTGCGAGATGTGGCCGAGGCCCCTCTGACCTCAGGACTGAACTCTGAGCCTCCCCGAGTCACGCTCCCCGCCCCCATCTCTGCGCGGGCCCCACCCCCAGCGCCCAAGCCCGGGAGCTCTTGGGGCACTTCCTGCTCCCCAACCACACTGGCCCCCCAGTCTATTCCAATCACACGCCCCGTTCTGCCACGTCTGGCCCCCTCGAGTCCAAGCTGCCGCGGGCTTGCGTGTGGCACCACCGTGGCCTCCTGGCCCACGCCCTCTGCCCTCCCATTCAGCCACCCTCAGCACGAGCCCACGGTCCCCAGAAGGAACCGGCTGCTTCTCCCACAAAGCTCTTGGGAAGGGTCAAAGGCTGGAGACTTCCTGGCGCTTCGCGAAGCCAAGTCGCAGCCACAGGCGGGGCAGCAAGTTCCTAAGGATGGACTCCTTCGTGCCTTCTGGAAACTTCTCCAGGCCCAACAGCATGCTGGCTCCAGGGCTCAGCAGACGCCACAGGCACCGTCCTCCCTCCACGGGACTCAGGGCAGTGGGATGATGGGGGCAGGACTTCAGCCAGCCGGGGAGAGGGCCGCAGCCCGGCGCACCCGCGTGGCAGCCGGCACGGCGGGCGGGAGGCAGGCGGGCGGCGGTCAGTGCTGCGCACAGCCTGGCGTGGGAGCAGGGGCAGCAGCGGGCGCAGGTTGGAGAGGTGCGAGTTCCTGAGGGTGGGGGAGTGGGGGGGACTGCAGGGGTGGCATGTGCGCTCGGGCCACCGTCTGGGCCGTGCCTGGGGCAGCGAGGACACTGAGGGCCGAGCCGAGGGCACAGGGCAGTAGCGGGCAGGGCCATTCCCGCCTCCTGGGCCCCAGGGCTCCCCGCTCAGTCCGGGGCCAGCTGTGCCTGAGCGCCCGGGGGTGCCCCGGGTGCTGCTGGGAGCAGAGGGCAGCAGGCCCGAGCCAAGTGGGCTCCGAGCACCTCAGGGAGGAGGACCGCGGTGGCCTTCATCCCAGGGACGGTGGAGCCACAGAGGGCAGAGGCGGGGCAGGGACGATGCAGTAGCATCCTATGAGACCCCTCTGGCTGCGGCAGAGAAGCTGCCAAGCCCAAGCCTTTGCCACGTGGGGCCAGCCGGCCTGCTTGCCGGGCCCTCCTGACGTCCAACTCGCACTCCTGGGGGTCCACAGGCCCTTGTGGTTACATCAGCAACTCAAACCAGCCAATCCACGCACCCCGCTTGGGACTAGGCCGTGTTCTTGCCTGTTCACATCCCAGCGGTACAGGCTGCAGGACAGTCCGGGCAGGTGCCCCGTGCCTCCGTTCCCCGGGAGCCCCCCAGGGTTTCCAGGTGGGCCTGTGTCTGTCTCCCCCCAGGAGCAGCTGGACGCCCTGCACCAGGCCCTTGACGAGAGCCGGAGGCACAGCCAGGGCCTGGCCAGAAAGGCGAGGCTGCTGGAAGAGTGCAGGTGCCAGGAGGCCGCGGGGTCGCCGGAGCCCCTGCAGCAGGTGAGGGGTCCCAGGGAGGGTACGCTGTCACCAGGAGGCGGTGAACGGCTTACCAGGAAGAGGCCCTGCGTTCCTCTGCCTAGTCAGCCCCTCGCCTGAAGGGAGATGCAGGGAGATTCTGCAGGCAGGTGTGCAGCCCTGCGGAGGCCCAGTCCCCAGCCGGCAGATGAGAAAACGGAGGCTGGAGGGCCCGCAGGGAGCCAGAGGGCCGGGTTTCTCACCCCACAGCGTGCACCCGTACAACAGAGGGGTGCACTGCGGACCCGCAGTTTAGGGGAAAGAATAAGCCAGGCCCAGAACCAGCCTCCGACGGAACACCCGGCTCCTCAGAAGCTGGGCCCTCCGGGCCCCTGGCCCACAGCACATCTCTGGACAGGTACTCGGGCGGCACAGTGAGCAGGAGGCGGCGGCGAGCGCCCTGCGGGAGCAGACAACAGCGCTGCGCGCCGAGCGGGCCCGTCTGCAGGGGGAGCTTGCAGCACTGCGTGCTCGGCTTGCACAGGTAGGGCGGCGCGGGTGGCGGGAGGGGCGACTGGGCCGTGAGGACCGGAGTTCCTGCTGGGTCCAGACAGGCGCTGCTGCCAGCGCTGGCCCAGGCGGGCTTCTGCGTCGGCACCTAGCGGTGGGATGGGCCCGGCGCAGGGTCAGCCCCAAAGCGGCAGGACCCCATGAATGGCCATAGCCCTCGGGGATGTGACCGTGCGCCTGCGTGGCTGTCTGGGGGGGCACCACAGGTCGTGGCAAATCCCAGCTTTGTCATCGGCATCCGAGCCCCGGTCTGACTGGAGCCGTGGCCGGGGACACTGCGCACCACTAGACTCTCCTGTTCGTGGTGGCAACGGCTCCTGCCGCAGAGACCCGTGTGGACAGGAAGCAGGCAGAGAGGGTGGGGCCGGCACACCTCGCACCACGGCCCCCCCTCCCAAAGCTCTGAGGGGGACAGGCAGGGTCCGGGCAGACCAGGTTGGCCCCCACGAGAGACCAGAAGAAGCTCATGTGGGCGAGGGGTGAAGTCCAGGTGATGGTTGTCACCCAGTCCTGTCATCCCCACTGACCTCCAACACAGGCTGTGTGCAAGAAGCGTCCCCAGCCCAGAGGTTGGACACAGACCGTGACGTCGGGGTGGGCAGGACAGTGGGCATGCCCAGGGGCTGCAGAGAGCATGGGGCGGCTTGTCCCTGGGTCCTGCTGGCCAGTGATTCTGGTGGCTGAACTCTGCCCCCAGGTGTGGGAGGACCCGGTCCCCGCAAATGAAACCAGATGGAGCAGAGCCATTTGGTTGAAATCAGGAGTGGGGGTTGCCGGGTTGACTGGTGGGGAAACCGAGGCCTTGGCATCTCCTCCTTGGGCAGAACATCCCCAGCCCCAGGCACCCGCCACCGCCCTCTGTGCACTCCCCACACCAACGCTCCCACTCGGGCCTCGCCCCTTCAGCGAGGAGCGGGTACATGCAGGCACCCCCAGGTGGCCAGCGAGGGTCCCAGCCCCAGGTGGCCCTGCACAAGTCCCACTGTCTGTGCATCCTCCCCGCCGTCTGCTCAGTGGTGCTCGTCTGTCACAGGCAGGGAAATGGTGGCCGTGCAGGGCTGGCAGGGCTGGGCACTGGTCCTTCTAGAGCATGGGTCCCAAGAGGTGACAGTGTGTGGCCCACAAACTGGTATGGGCAGGAGAGGCTGGTGTCTCCCAGGGACCAGGCCCCACACTGGGGGTGCAAGGTGGGGGCCCCACCCAGGATCCCCTCTGGACCAGACTCCCCCAGCTCTGCATCCCTGGGCCCTGCTGCCCACTGTCCAGGCTCCTCATGGCCCCCATGGCCCCAGAGCCCCAAACCCACCCCCTCCCAGCTCCTGTCCTGCCACGCAAAGGCTGCTGAGGTCAGGAGAGGCTGCAGGAGAGTGTTTGGGTCACCCAGTTGGAGGGGTTGGCCTGGAAAGCCAAGCCAGGTGTCCAGCCGGCGCCATGCAGGGGTGGACGACTCATGCACAGCCTCCCACTCCCATCAGCACCCGGGGGTCCTGGAGCTTGTTCTCTTTGGAAAGTTTGTTCTGGAAGCCAGTGGGGTGGGGAGGGACAGGAAGGGCCCATGTCCTTGGGCCTGGATCCCAGAGCAGGGCAGCCGTTCCTGAGGCCCTGCCGCTGCCTGCACAAGGCTCCGCGGCCCATCCCTCTGAGGGACAGAGGCCGGCAGGCCAGGACAATCATGAGAGCTGCCAGCCAGCTTGTCCACAGAGGGCCACCTGCCCTCACAAAGGAGGGTGGGCAGCAGGGGAGCCAGTCCCGAGGCCCTGCCACTCCCTGCAGTGGGGGCCCGGCCTGAGCTGTGGAGTTGGGGGGTTTCAGCCTCCTGTGGAGCTGTGGGGGTGAGGGGGCAGGGGTGGGTGCAACAGCCCTGGCTGCGATGGCACTGCCTGGGGCAGTGGAGCTGGCGTGGGCACAGTGCCCGCTGCGGGTCCCTGGAGGCCGGGTGGGGGAGGAAAGGAACAGCTAATGAGTTCCAGGAGGTCAGCTGTGAGGGGCCCACAAGCCCGTAAACCCTTTATTGGTGTCTCGGGAGGGGAACCCGGATGTGGCCGTTTATTTATTTTGGATTTCACTTTTTGCTTCTCTTTATAACATGCATTTCCAGGAGTGTAACTGGATTTTTAAAGAGACAGGACTTCCTTTTTCAGTGGAAGGGGACTCTTTGTTTTTCTCAGTCCTGAAGAAGAAAGAAATCCTTATTTTTGTGAAGCTCTGACCACTAACCCCGTAACTTTACCCATGCAAATGATCCGCCATACCTCAGGGCCCCTGAGCTACCAGGCCAGCTCCAGCCCCGAGGCCAGGAGGCAGGTTTGCCTGGCACTAAAGTGAAGACTGACCCAGGAGTCCAGCCCAAGGCCACTGGCCCCATAGACATGGCCCCTGCAGAAAGGACCCGCAGGGCCAGGCACAGCAGGGGTAGTGCAGGCAGCCTGGTTTGGAGAGCAGGGCCTGAGTTCCAATCCTGCCCCAGTGCCTGCCCAGACCCCAGCAAGCCTGGGGGTTCAGGAGACCAGACCCATGAGACATCCCCTAGGGGATCTGGGGTCACCAGAAGCAGGCTCTCTGGGCTGTTGGGTGCTGTTCCTCCTCTGATGCTGCTCTCTGGGGGAAATTCTTAGATTCAATTCCTTCCTCCAGAGGGTCCATCCACCAGGGACAGAAGGAGCCCCACTGACCTTCTCATAGAAAATGTTTGTTTCCTAGATAACCTTCCCTGACATTTGACCTGCAGCTCATTCCTCCTGCCCTGTGGGGCGGGGAGTGACTAAGAAGGGGGCTCTGCTGGGGCCACTTGCAGCCTATGAGGAGGACACAGAGTGGGGACAAGGATGGCAATGCCACAGGCTTTGGGGCTGAGTCAGCGAGAGTGTACTGCTCGCAGGACTGGTGCCTGTACGAGCTCAGCAGATTCCGAGTGCCAGCTGCAGAAGGCAGCCACCAGGGGGCGCAGGGGATCGGGCTCATGCAGCCTGGAAGAGCCCTGAGGGCTGGGGCAGACCCTGGCACCCCACCAGGAGATACAGACAGTCTCGACGGGGACCTCTGCTGGCCTGTAGCAGGATGGGGACTTGGCCCCATGCTCCTCCTCCCCACTCTGGCCGCAGGTGCCAGATGGCCCAGGGCAGTGCCCTCCCTGAACCCCTCAGCTCCCAAGGGGGTCAGAGCCTTTCCCAGAGGCACCCCCATGCTCCCTGGAGGGAAGGCTGGCCTTACCTCACACCCCCACCAGGGGGCCACAAGTGCTGCCCCTGGGCTCTCTGCAGACAGAGCAGGAGACGCTGAGGAGGGAGGGGGACGTGGCGAGGCTGGGGGCTGAGAAGGAGCAGCTGGACCGGTCCCTGCGCAGCCTGCAGCAGGCGGTGGACAGAGTCCTGGGGCAGAACCAGCAGCTGCAGGTCAGCCGGGCCAGTGGAGCTCTGTGTACCCCAGCCTTGGGGTGGACGTGGGGCGGGGTGGGTCCCACAGGGATGGGCCAGTGTGCCTTGTCTCATGCATGCTTACACATGTATGTGCACGCACACACAGGAATGGCAGCTGGACAGACAAAGCCCAGACAACAGTGAGGTCTACCCAGGTCACATCTAGGACCCAGGCAGAGCTACAACCCAGACCCAGGGCTCCTTGGGCCCCACTTGGCTTCTCTCCAGGGCCCCCGCCTTTCCCGAGACACTGGAGTCCCCGTGGGAGTGGGGGGACGGTCGAGGGCCCTTATGAGGGGTTCACCCAAGGCCCAGGACCTGACCCCCACAGAAAGGGCCTCAGAGGGTTTGGTCTCCCCATGCGCTGCTGAGCACACCCCGTCCCCAGACAAGGAAACAGCAGGGGGATGAGGGGCAGGAATCAGGCCCCAGCTTGGCCACAAGGAAGCCAGGATGCTACTGAAACAGGTTTCAGGCCCGCCCTGCAGGCTGTGGCTTGGCTGTAGCTGGGCCAAAGCGCGGAGCAGGTGGCTCGAACCCAAGGCCTGGGGCTGGCTGTGTGCACCAAACGCCAGGTCTGCTGGCCAACCTGGGCCGGCGCCAGCACCCAGCAGTGGGCAGTGGAGCCAACGGGAACAGCGGCCCCCAGGGTGGGCTGGGGCGCCCCACGCACTCCCACCCCAGGGCTCTGTGTGCCCTCGGGGACAGCAGCGGGGTGCCTGTGTTCCCGCCCAGGCCCAGACAGCGGAGCGGGAGCAGGCCCACGCCCACGCCCGGTGGGACCCGGCCACGGAGGCAGAGCGTCTGCGCGGGGCTCGGCTGCAGGCCCTGGAGTCCTGCGAGCAGTCCCACCAGCGGCAAACACAGGTGCTGGAGGAGCAGGGAGGGCCCGGCCCCCACCCCTCGGGGGGCACAGGGAGGGAGGGGAGGACTCGCATCACGCAGCAGCACCCCGTGGGGTGACGGCCTGGCCTCCACTCGAACCCTCCAGCAACGAGGTGCTCTCTGCTGCCAGCCGGGGGCCCGCATGGCTCCGGCTCTCCCTGCACTCCCGCCCCCCAAGGGCACAGGGCCGCGGCCCCTCTCACACCTCACTGTGTGCATTCTGGGGCCGGTCACACCCTCTCTGTGCCCCGTCTATGAAGGGGGGTGGTGAGGACGGTTCCTGTCAGGGTCGCTGTGCGTGAGGTGCTGAGACAGCACCTGGCACACAGAGCTGTGGCCCCTGCCCTTCAGAGTCGTCACAAAGGATATGCAGCGGCTCACGTGGGGACACGGTGGGCACAGTTAGGCGGGCAAGGAAGCGTGGCCAAGCCTCGGGCGTGTACGTGGCCCGCACATCTGCACAGGCGTACGCACACGCGACACGCCTGCCGGGGCCGAACCGCTGAGTCTGGAGCTCGGAGCTGTCGGGATCTTGGCGATCTCTGGGCAAACCCTCATGTACAGATGAGGAAACTGAGGCCCAGAGAGGGGAAGTCACTGCCCAGTGTCATTCCCAAGTTAGTGTCCCTGACCCATCAAACCACGTTTGCTAAACTTAAAAGCAGAGGAACGTTAGTTTCCTTAGAGCGCTTTCGTGGCCTGAATGGAAGGGGATCGGTCTACGGTGGGGGTGTGGTGGCCTCGGTCCCCAGGGCCCCCAGGATGGGTGCTCACGACAAGAGCTGGCCCTGCCTGCTGGTCAGTCTGTCCCTCTGCCTGGTGATTCTCTCCCACAAACGCCACCTCTCCTTAGGAGCCGTGGACTGTGGCCTCCCAGCCCTTCCCGCCACAGAGCTCTCCACGCCCCTGTGCCTTGGGGGCCCAGGCACGAGGCAGCACACCCCACTGAGCCCTGCCCTGTCCCCAGGTGGCCAGCCTGAAGGAGCAGCTGGACCGGGAAGTGCAGCGGCAGCAACAGGCACCCCTCGGCCAGGCCGGGCAGTGAGCCCCGCCGCGGGCCACCGGTGGCCAGACTGGCTGGGGCAGCGGGCCCTGGAAGAGCTGCCGAGGGCCTCTGGCTGCTGGGAGCCACTGCTGGGAAAACCAGCCTTGCGCTCCGCACAGAGGGGCCAAACGGGGTCCGATGGGGTGGGCGCGATGCTGCCAGAGGGCGCAGGGCGTGTACCTTCACCCTGGAGCCCACCACACACTCCCCGGGGCCCCAGGGCCGCGGGCACACGCCGATCCACGGACGGCAGAGCTCCTCCCGCCCCTAGGACTCAGCCTGCAGCTGGCGCCAGACCTGGCTGCGATCACTCCTCCGTGACAGCCTCCCCCACCCCGCCGCGGAGAGCGGGGGGCTTCAGCGCCTCCTCTCAGCCCTGCCCGGGCCTGGCGCGCGGCTTCGGCTTCGGACATGCTGGCCTGGCCAGCCTCCCGCGGCCGGGCCCTGTCAGGCCAGCTTCCTGAGCCGCATGCGTGCCCTCGGCTCTGTAAACACGGGAAAACACGTGGAAAACATTTCCACCGCCTGGAGCCAGAAACACAATGTCCTGCGAGGCCAGCCGCCGCCGCCCCACGCCCAGAGCCTGCGGAACCTCCGTATCCAGGAACTGCGGCCCGTCACGGTGGCAGGTGGCTGGAAGTGACTCAGATTCAAGTCCCTGTGACTCACGGGCCACGAGAGGCAGCGGAGGGTAAAGTGCAGAGTTATCACGGAGCCCCCCACTTTCCCGCCTGTGAGCGCTGGGAGAGTCCCGTGGGAACTGGCCCTGGTTGCCACGGAGACCGAGCGGCCATTGTGGGCCTGCCCAGGGCTCACCTGTTGTGTTTGCTCTGCGCCCCGTCAGCCTCGTCAGAGCGATTTGCTTTCCTCCCAAACGGCCTCTTTTGTTTTCTAAGCTGTGCGTTGGCAACACCCGCGGGGAACCAGCAGCCCAGTCAGCCCCGTTGTGCACCGCGGTGCCGCCGTCGCCAGGAGCCCACCCCATCCGGTCACTGTGAGCCGGGTGACAACCATCTGTCTATTTCAGATCACTCCAGGACTTAGAATAGACTGTCCTGTGAGACCTCGTTTTCCGGTTAGATTAGTAAGGAAGTCACCACACATCTTAGATTGTGCAAAACCAGCAGCTAGAAAGAGGTGGGAAACAGGCTGCACTCTGAACTCTGCTGGAAGCTGTGTTGAGAAGGACTCTGAAGTTCAGCCCAGGCTCTGAGGGAAGAGCACAGCAATCTAGCACAAAGGAGGAGCTAGCGGTGGCACAGGTGCCCAACAGCACCCCTGCAGCAGCAGTTAGAGGCAAACAGCGAACCCCGCGGAGGACAGCAGGCAGGCTCACCCCACTGCTGGACAGCGTCTGCCAGCGGGAAAGGGGCCACCAAGGGGCCGCATGTGGCATCCAGGCCCTGGCCTTCAGTACACGGGCCCTTCCCTTCCCCCCTGCCCAGCCTGCGGTTTCCTCGTGGGGGCCTCCACGCCACACCCAGCAGGGGGCCTGAGGGCGGGAGGAAGGTGCCAGGAGCTAGAGGCGGCGCCTGGCAGAGCGCGGAGGGGCAGGGCGCGCCCTGCCGCTGTGCGGGTCCAGACGCTGTCCCGGCACTGAAGCGACAGCCCCGCGCGGCGAGACCACCCTGCTCACGGCAGTTCCGCACCCTCCGTACCCTGGCGGCTCACGGCAAGCCGTGGGCTCTCTAAGCTCTTTCTGTTTTCACAAGCAGTTAAATCAGCATAGGAGATAGTGTTTTTGCTTATTTGACAAAGAAGTATATATTTAGGAAAAGGGGTTTTCTGATGGAAATAAATTGGCATTTTCTTGAACATTTCCAGCAGCGTGTGGGCCTCTGTGTCTCAGAATCTGAGGATTACCGAGAACCAGGGGCCGGGGCGTGGAAGACCCTCCCTCCGTCCTCACAGCCGCCCTCTGGGCACCTGGTCTGCAGGTGAGGGGAGCCCTTGCCGGGACCCCCAGCCCAGGCCGCGGCGCGCCCCACCCTGTCTGCCCAGCGAGGCGGCCGCACAGGGTCCGGCCGCTGTTGGACGTGCGCGGGGTGCTAGGCCCGCCCCCGCTGCGCAGGTGAGGACGAGGAGGAGAGAGCTGGGGGGTCCAGGGGCATGCAGGGAGCCAAGGGGGCTGACTCCTGCCCGGCGCCCTGCCCAGAGTCGGAAGGGGAAGGACACGCGTGCCCCGCAGTAACCTGCCTCCCGCCAGCCCTGCGCCCAGAGCTCAGAGGAAGGCACAGCTGCTTCCCCACCCTCCCCGACGCGGGGCCCTGGCTGTGTCCGGCTGCCATGGGGCACACAGGGTAGTGCTCTGTCCTCGGCACCCAGGGAGATGGACGCGGCTGCCTGCAGGAGGTGGGGTCCCTGGTCACCCCAAGGACGGGGCGAGGGCGCCCCTGAGCCACCTGCAGTGGCGTTCCCGGTTCCTCTCCATTTGCCCGCATGAAGCGCCAGTGAGCACCCGGAAAGGGAATGCGGAGCCCCCTCCGACCACCCCGAGATCCATGGCAGAGGTGCCGTCATGGGCGCCCCAGTGTGTGGGCTCTCTGTGCAGGAGAGAGGAGCTGCAGGGTCCCGCACCCGCCTCGGTGGGCCAGCATACAGGGCGGTGACACACGGGGTGGGCTGGGGTTGCCTGCCCGGGAGCCGGACCTTAGCTGCTCCTCAGATCCGGTGCCCTCCCCAGCCTCATCCTGGAGCGGGTGGCCGTTTACCTGGGGCCTGCACCGCCTGGCAGGACCAGCTGCTCCGGGGGGGGGCCTGGGCTCCACCGGCCACTCCTGGGAGGGAAAGAGAAGGTCACGGAGCGGGGCGCCCCAGCCAGCCCCCACCACCAGCAGCCGGGCCTGGAGCCCCCAGCCCTGCCCTGCGTGGACCCCTGACCAGGCCCAGCCCCCCAGGTGCAGGCGGGAGAGGCGCTCCCCACTCAGCCCCCAGGGAGCCCCAAGTCCAGGGGCATCCTGAGGGCAGCGCCCGGGGCTCCCCCATCTAAGCTGCACACACACTCAGGCCCTAAATTAAAATATCACAGCCTGCTGGGGAGGCTCGGGTTTCCTGGCCACAGAACATGAGCCTGCTTGATAAAACAGCTTCGGTTTTGATAAATGTGGATTTTCTGTGGCAGAGACAGAGGCGCCCTTGAGTCCAGAGGGGACCGAAAACAGCACACTGCTGAAAAGTATTTCCTGACAATATTTTTAGCACCTGAAAAGAACTTTTTTTCCCCCTTTTTTTGCCTGTGGACTTGTGTGGGTTTTTTTTTTTTTAATGAAATGTAATGCCCAGCGGCAGTGGGGCCTGTGTTAACCCCCGGTTTCCCAGGCCCGGTGGAGCGCAGGCCGTGGCGGGTCAGCAAGGCGTCGGGAAGCGTGGCCTCCCAGGGCCCAGCCAGGGGCTTGTAACACGCAGCAGCCGGGAGCCGTCTCCGCTCCCCCACTCAATGCCCCTGCCGAGCACCACTTGCCCGCAGGTATGCTGGGCCCGGGGGCAGCCCTGCCCCCACAGGTCCCCAGGTAGACCTGGGCAGCTGCTCCAAGGCCCCCTTGGAGGTGACACCCTGAGGGAGGCTCTCAGGGCCAAGCAGGGGTAGCCGTGGGGGGAGGATGTGGAGTGGGGGCGGGGCAGGAGGTGGCCCAGCCCTGGGAGGGGTCAGAGGGCAGGGCCCCGACACCCTTGGTGCCACATGGCAGGCAGGCAAGCGGCTCTTGCCTCAAAGACGACACCTCTCTAGCGGGAATGTCCCACTCCAGGGGCTGGCGCTGCCACCTGCCCTTCCACGCGAGGAAGCTCTCGGGCAGAGGGTAGAGGGCTGGGAGGTTTTCACAGGAAAAAGACAAATCGGAAAGTGTGTCCTCCTGGGTCCCCAGCACGGCGCCCAGGCCTCCTGGCAGCTCTGCGCTCGAGGCTGCCCTGGGGCGGAGGACCCACCCCGCCCGCCTTTGCCAGCCAGGCGCAGGGAGCGGCCTCCTGCCCAAGGAGCGGGGGCCCGGCTGTGCGTGAGGAAGGGGTTTAAGCACATTCGAGGGTGGTGTAAGAGTGTGTGAGTGTGAGTGCGAGTGTGCGAGTTAGCGTGTGAATGTGAGCGTGTCTGTGGGTGTAAATGTGTGTCAGTGTGTATGAATGAGTGTGTGTGAGTACACGTGACTGCGTGAGTGAGCGTGTATGTGTGAGTGTGAGTGTGGGACAGCGTGTGAGCGTGTGAATGTGAGCGTGTCTGGGTGTGAGTGTGTCAGTGTGTGTGATTATGACCGTGTGTGTGAGCACACGTGACTGCGTGAGTGTGTCACCCTGACTCGAGACGCTCCCCAGGCCCTTGCAGTCGGATCCCCCGATGGCAGCGTCTCCACTTTCCCTCCAAAGACAGACGGCCTCGGCCTTCCTGAGCCTTCCCTTCTGGCCGGTGCTGCTGTGCCGGGACCTCCGCAAAGCAGGGTCACCAGGCAGGGCGTGTCCCAGGCACCAGCGTAAGGGGAGCTCACTCTCAGGGCCGTGCCAGGACAGCGACGCCCCGTCGGTGGGCACCTCCTTAAATTCTGGGCCTGGCCCTGGTGCCAAGTGCAAAGGGCCGTGACCGTCGGAGCACAGATGCCAACCACAAGGTGACCGGGAGGGCCGCAGCCACCGCCCGCAGAGAACCCTCCACTGCTTCTCAAAAGTGACATGCGCGTTGCTGTCACCCTAAACCTACACACGCTCACTGGAGACGTTTTGGAAAATACAGAAAAACACAAAGCCAAACGAGAAAACACCCGAACCTCAGTGTAGCTGCTGTCACTGTCCCGGCCTTGCCTTTGGGGCCCAGGCCAGGCCTGCGGTCACATGGCCCAGCCCCGACGAGTGCCCAGCGCAGGCGGGATGACAGCCCAGGAGTCTGGCCCTGCACCGGGCCTGGGGACAAGAGGGGAACGAGCCGGACTCGGCCGCCCGCGGACAGGCGGACACTCAGCAGCGCCCAGGCGAGCGGCCCGAGAGGCCGGAGAAGGGCTGGGAGGCCAGAGGATGGGGACGCCGGTCCGAGCTGTGGGCACTGGGTCCCGGGCGCTCCCGCCAGGCCCAGGCTCATCTGTCCGCTTCCGGGGGTGGGCGGGGGCGCTCTACCCAGGACGCCGCCTTGGGTCCCTGAACCCCCGGGAATGTCCCGATGTGACCGCGCGGGGCGGAAACGCTTCGTGCAACGCCTTGAGTCCCATAAACTCCCGGGACTGGCCGCCG